TATTGCATGATTAATGTGGATGCCCATAGTGTCAGACAGTACCTTATTTTTTTAATATATATTCACAGATATTCATGTCATGCCAGAAGTAGATCCCTCATCCTTACAGCCGTGTTTACTGCCCAAAGCCCCATCATTGGTGCTGCCCAGCCTCCAGGACAACTCGGTATCATGGGCAGTTCAGGTCATAGAGGCCCTGAAATCTGATTCCTGATAAGTTATAGAACAAATTGATACTCGTTGTAATGGCATATTAGGTGTGCATTTTGTAAAGTGTATTCTATTGTATGAATAGGAAAACTCTTTCTTGAGAGCAGAGAAAATTTATGATAAATGAAACAAGTCCATTGTAAAGGTGGCATGGCAGTAGATTGCATGTTTAGTGGCTTGCCTAAGAAAGTGAGTGGTATCGTGTTGTTGTTGTTTTTTTCCTTTTTTTTTAAGGTTCAACATTATTTTAGATTTATATTATTCAAGTTATCCTCTTGCTCACCATGTTTTTTTTGTTTTTGTTTTTTTCCTTCTTTTTTTTTCTTTCTTTCTTTTCTTTTTTTTCTCTTTTTCTTCTTTTTAGGGGGTATATAAAAAGAAAGATTCTTAAGTCAAAACACTGAGACCTTTGAGTTTAACCATATTACATAACCTTGCTTTATATTTTGATGTCCCCAAACACTCATCTTTTCCTCTCTCGGTACCTGTTTCAGGTACCTATTCCTGCCGCAGGTGAATCTGAGTGAGGCTGGATACGTGGAGCTCTTAAGGTCTATCCGTGTGAAGTGGCATATTGTGGCTCCAATCAGCTGGCCCAGAAACATAAGATCAGCCAACTTGCGGAACATTACGTTAGAGAAACTGAAGTGTGACTTAATCCTGTACGTTCTTTGCTTATCTTTGTGGAGTGTTCTGTGTTTTTTGTTTTTTGTCAACTTTTGTTGTTTTTTTATTTAGAATTTGATATTTTGCTCTCCACTTTATCTTGTACTCTTTTATATTTTTCAATTAATATTAGCAATGTCATTACTGTTGCAGGGGTATGCTTTGCTTCAGATATTTGCTTCATGCAGTGTCTGTCCTGTAAAATACTTTACCTATTCTTCTTTTTCTCCTTCATCTTTCTTTTTTTTTCATTTCCTATTCTTTTCTTTTCTTTTATCTTTTTATTTATTTTTGTTTCATTTAGTTGTTTTTTTATCTTTACCTTCCTCTTTTCATTCTCTTTTTTCTTTTCTTTTCTTTTTTCACATCCTTTCTTCTTTGTCATCTGACAATGATTCTTTTTCACATTCTATAGTACTGTGTAACTGTAATTTCTGTCTTTGTTACTTTCTCTGTTACTTTCTCCCATTTTTTAGAATAATGGATGGTAAAAATTAATTTCATGTGTTCATTAATTTATCTCAACAGATTGAGTGATGAGGAGATGATGGAAAGCCTACAGAAAATGTCTTGGTGAGGAAGAAAAGTTCAGTCACCATGATCTGCTCAATCACTTTCAAGAAATACTCGGTATCAATGTAGGGAGAGTCATCATCGAGGAAGATTCACTGTCAGCACAGAAGGAGTTGCTTTCAAGGGAGATTCTATACCAGTGGAGTGGGTCTCTGAGATATGCATGGATACAGTCTTAGTTTGTGCCTTTGAAATGGACCTAAAAGATATGATGTGGCCTTATTTTTTATTTTTTGCCTTAATTTGCACAAGAGCCTCCAGACACCACAGTACAAAGTAACATGCAGTTATTTAAATTGTGACTGGACTGATAATGGTGGTATGACACGCATCTCTATGACAAGAGGGCATCAGAGGGTTAAGAATTTCAGTTGCTTGGCATTGGGCCTGAGTGCAAGAGATATTGATAATGTGCAATAGGCAAAATGCTGTACTGTATGTATAGAGAATTTCAAGTAATAAACGAAAGCAGTACAAAAAGTATGTTTATCGGAATTGTTCGTATATTTGTTTATATTGGCTGTTGTGCATCCAGAGCTAAAGATAGGAATGAATGTTGAGTGAATGTCATCTGTCTAGAGGTACCCATATATAACTGCAATTAAAAGTTGTCCAGTTACTTCACACTTGCAACGATGTTATTGGAGAGAGAGTGTGTGTGTGTGTGAGAGAGAGAGAGAGAGAGAGAGAGAGAGAGAGAATGAATACATTATGAAAAGGCCAGGGTGTTTTTACAATGCAGAGTTCTGAAAGTAATGGCATACAGCAGGAAGACACACCTCTGAAGACATACAAAGATAATGAGAAGTAAAACATGTCCCAGGCATGTTAGCTTTTATTATATTATTGTTACTTAAATGCACAGAAAACCATCAAATTTATGAAGGGAGTATATACATAATATCTTTTACGTAGTATATTTAAAAATTTTATCTCCTCTTTGATATGAATTACAGTGTGGGATTTTATCACATGTCTTATTTTTTTTTATTCTTGAAGTTTAGTCTGTGCCTTATGATCATATTTCTCAATGAATTATACAAAAAGAAAA